TTCTGGTCACCCTAATTACAACCCTACAGAAAAACAAGAACTTCTTTATAAAGAGGTTGAATCCAAAGATGGATGGATCATGATGGGAGGCTGGTATGTCTTACCAGACACACAGGCAACATCCATTCTAACTGATGTACATAACACTCTGCATGTGGGATACCACCCTATTTTGCAACTAATAACGCCCATCTTTTTTTCACCCACACCTGTCCACATTGCTCCAACACATCACCCAAGGATGTACTATCTGCTCCATGACATCATCTCAGGGAGGAAGTCACCCCCACTCATTTCTGACTCACCAGACAAGGGGACCTGTTCTTGGACAAGACTGACAAATTGATTTCACACACATGGTCCCTCATAAAAGGGTCAGGTACCTACTCACAATGGTTGACACTTTCTCAGGATGGGTAGAAGTATTTCCTTCTACTTCAGAAGGGGCAAAGCAGGTTATCCAGGTGCTCATAGATGAAATCATTCCCCATTTTGGCTTGCCAGTCTCCCTACAATCAGACAATGGCCCATCCTTCTTCTCACCAGTAACTCAGCTTACAGCTCGGGCTCTCAACATACAAATACCTACACATACCTAACTGCCCTCAATTATCAGGAAAAGTAGAAAAAGTCAATCACATCCTTAAATCTCACTTATCCAAATTGTTTCTCAAATTTCATCTGCCCTGGACTTACTTACTTCTTGCCCTTTTGCATATAAGCCACATTCACAAATATCTCCTTCTCAGCTTCTTTGAGCTACTGTACAGCAGATCCTTCCTTTTAGAAACCTTCCTTCTTCTTCACCTCTGTTAGGAGACTATACACCCATTCTAAACTTTGTCAGACATAGTCTCAGGACACAAGCGAACATGCACCTACCTCGACCTTATCCCACTGAAGAGGTACATTTTTCAGTTTCCCCGGACAAGTATTACTAAAATCGAGACAACCTGGTCCTCTAGTGCCTAGGTGGGAAGGGTCATACACGGTCCTTCTAAGTACTCCTACAGCAGTAAAACTGTCAGGAAAACCTCCTGGTACCACCTTTCAATGATCAAACCTTTCCCTCCCAAACCTCCATCTTCCTCATCTAATCCATCTAATAGGGAAATCACACCATCCACAAGTTGCTACTCCTCCCAAGTACTAGGACCAACAAGCTTACATTATCTCATAGGCTCTCTCAGATTCCCCAGGAGACAGATACCCACACCTCTGCAGCACCAATTTCACACTGTCCCTGAGTGCACTCACCTAGTCCTATCCTCAAAGGTACACCCCTGGAGACATCTTGCAGTGTATTGAAGACCTCTGTTTTTCAGGGTACCTTTATGTTATTTTCCTGTGAGGAAATGGAATTTTCCTCATTCCTTCTAATCTGCCGCCTAGCCTCAGTCTTTTCTACCATTAGAGAACCTGCTGTGTTAGCTGATCCAATGGGCCACTGTTCTAATCTAGTCTCAGGAGACCCTTTTAGTCTTATTGGAGGCCTTGTTACTAGGTTTCTTTTTGGCATCAGTCTAAGAGCTGTTTCTCCAAAAGATTGGAGCCAATGCCAAAAATGTCTACTTATAGGTGTATACTGGATTACTAGTTTACTCTTAGTTGCTCTCTCATGTTTATGTTAATAGGAGGACACCAGGTTCCCCTCTGCCCCATGATTATTATAACCCCATACCCCACCCCTGGACGGCCAGGGCAATGTCATCCTTTATATACCATAAAATCTTTCCCTGAACATGTAAAACCTTCACAGTCCCATAGGTGCCGGAAAGAAGGTAGCGAACAGGCAGAATAACCTACGAATCCCCCATACAAACAGCACAAACTAGCGCTAAAGACTCAAGGAGCTAGCTAAAACTCCATCTCCTCACAAACCAATATGTCTATCCAGACTCTGGAAAATAGCACAACACAGATTCATAGACATCAATTTCATTTCTTCGTAACACCACCCTCCAAATTTCTTAGACAAACAATGCACACCACACAGTGTTGGTTATGTCTCTCCTCTCTGCAACACAGAAGATATCTAACATCTCCAATTCCATCTTCATGACTAACACCTAATATAGGAACCAAGATAACTAAGGCATGCCCTATCAACGGATCAATGACCACTGAAGTACTTCTCTTTCCCAATCAGGACACTGTCTGACTCCTGGCCCCTGGAGGGTTACAACCCTTCAATGTCTCTAGCAACTACTGAAGTCAAACCTTCTTTTGGCCAAATACTGAGACTCACTGTGCCTCACCTGGAATATTTTTCCTATGTGACTATTTGTCCACACTTGTTTACAGGTGAATGGACAGGGTGATGCATCCGGTATTTCTCATTCCAGACGTAACATTCCTAGATGAACAGGACATGGAAAACACCATATTGAAATACACATCTAAATCCCCTCACATTTTTTCCTATAGACACACAGGAGCATTAGTAGCCCCTATTCTCATCAGAATAGGGTAGTGGCAGCTCTGAGAACTGGAATGGGAGAAGGTGAAACAGCTACTCATTTTTACTACAAACTATCAAGAGACTTCAGTAGTGATATGGAAGAAATAGGCAATACTCTTTTAGCACTACAAACTCATGTCAATTCCCTGGCAGGCAGGACACTACAAAATAAGCAAGCCCTGAACATGCTCACTGCAAAATGAGGGGGAACCTGTATTTTCCTAGAAGAGGACTGTTGTTACTTTGTTTATAAATCTGGCATAGTTAGATAAAAGATAGAACAATTAAAGGAATGAATCCAACACCAATGGAAGGAGTTAGGAAATGTGGGACCCATATGGAAAAGTATTTTAGGCTCTTGGAAGTCTTGGGCCCCCTGGCTTCTGTCACTACTGTCTCTCAGTTTAATAGGTATAATAATTCTATGCTTTGGGCCTTGTTTGTTTTGCTGTTTTCAAAAACTTTTCACAGGAATGGATGTATGCCTTCATCAATCAAACCTCAATGGAGCTGTATGTGGCTGGGTTCCAACCCCTAAAGCGCTCACTAGACAACTCCAAGACAGGACAGTTACAGGGTTTTGCTGTGCCTGTCCAGCAGCAGGAAGCAGTTGCACAAAATGAGACCTCCGGCCCTATTCCCTATTATCAAAAGGCAGGAATGATGGATCCAGCTAAGCATGAAACAACACCTGACCACTTTGAGCGTCTCCTTCCCTATTTCTTGATACCCGTGCCCTGGCCACTCTCTTTTTCTATCAAAAACTGTCAACCAAGAATTACTATTCCCAGCAAAACTGTCCCTAAAGAACGAGAATGAAGTTAAAACATTCCGAGACAAGCTAAGAGGTTCATCGCCAGCCCTACCTCAAAGGGCTGCATAAGGAAGAAAAATTCAATACATAGAAAGAAAGATCTTTAGACAAGTATATGAATGAGTAATAGGTATTCACGCTTGATAATCCTATTTTGTCCTCCATATTATTGTATGACAAGTGCATAAAAAGCAAGGTTAAAATTATGCTACAGGGCCCAAGAAATACGAGGATGTGTTTCATAGCAAACAAATGGCAAGGGGATAAAGAAATATAGGTGAGACTTTCTTATACATTACTGAAGTTAAGGTGGTATCAACTTTTCCTAGGATTTTATAAATGCAAGATGTCAAATGTAATATTCATAGTAATTCATAGTAATAAGAAATTATCTATACAAAAGGAAAGGAGGAGGGACCCAAAACGCTTCAGTATGATAACTGAAGTAAACTCAAAAGCAAACAATATTAAAGGAAAAATAGAAGGCTTCATATTTTTTTGTTAAAAAACTTAGCCAAATTACAAAAGAAAGTCCTTACTGGTATTTGCAGTGAATGTAAATGGACTAAACATTCTAATCAAAGGACAGAGACCAGGGAAAAGAATTACAAAACAAAAGCCTGCCTCAAATATGTGCTATGATTAACAAGAGATGCACCTTAGTCCTAAGGAAATAAATAGGTTTAAAGTGAACTTCTGGAAAAAATATGAAGGGTAAATATGAAACCTTGACACTCAACATTTTACTTACGGTTGAAAGGCTGAAAGCTTTCTCTCTGAAATCGAGAAAAAGACAAGGATTCCAGTTCATAGCACTCCTATTCAATATTATGTTAGAAGTCCTAGCTGGTGCAACAAGAGAGGATAGAATCCTGATGCACATCTTTCCTGATTTCAAACTATGTTTAAAGTCCCTTGTTCTGTTTGAGCAATTGCCTCTTGGTCTAGGTACAGGTTCAGCATGAGCACAATAATATGCTTTGTAATCCCCATTCTTCTCAAGGCTATCTATCCATAGTTTGCGATGATCCACACAACTGAATGCTTTTGCATAGTCAATAAAACACAAGTAAACATCTTTTTGGTATTCTCTGCTTTCAGCCAAGATCCATCTAATATCGACACTGATATCCCTTATTTCACACTCTTTTCTGAATCCAACTTGTATTTTTGGCAGCAACTTGTCAATATACTGCTCCAACTGTTGTTGAATTATCGTTAGCAAAATTTTACTTGCATGTGATATTAATGATACTGTTCAATAATTTCCATACCAAGTAATTTCATTTCATGACAGAATCTTTTTATAGTATGATTTATTTAAAGTCATGACAAAGTCAGAATTAGAATATTAGTCTCTGGATCCCAGATTCTGTGTTCTTTGCTTTATACAAAGTACCTATTGTACCCTCAGAATATCCTTATCAGGTTATAATAGATTCCAGTGAGAATTTTGCTAGAAATATTTTTTTTTAAAGAGAGAGAGAGAGCTTGGTAAATACCTTATGGAACCCATGAATGGCTTCTATCTATCACAAATGTAAGCAGTCAGGAAATATTACAAACTGAAGCAGCTGGAAAATTAAAGGCCTCTGGAACTGATGACAATAATAAAAATCACCAAGATGTTTTAGAGGTGTAAGAAGTCGCAAAGCAAGCAATAAAAATAATTAGGAGCCACATACAAATGAAGAATGAGGACAGAGGATTCAGGAAGATGATTACCTCTGAATACGAATGCTTTGATCGGAGAATCCCTGGGTGTCAATCATCACGTCTGCTTCATCCAGAACAAACACACGGATATTTGTCAAATCAATTAATTTTCTCTTGAAACACCAATCTAAGACAGTCCCAGGAGTGCCGATTACAATCTGCTTGCTGATCTCAGTGCCACTGGGAACTAGGGAAAAACGATTTGTGAGTTCTCCTTCAGATACAACGTTCCCACAGTTCATCATTCAGGGTGGAAGAACCTACAACTCTTTAGCAAAAGTACAGTCCATAAAGTTTTCCCAGTGAAAATTGTGACTTTTGATTTTGCAGGATTTTAGAATTTAACTCCCAAGTTTTTTGGCTAATGGTGACAATAATACATAATGCTGCATATTTGAGTCAAAGCCAAGGTCGTTTAGAAAGCCACATTGCAGCAATCCCACTGCCCTACAGAGACATTGGCACAGCTTGCCAAATGGAAAACCACTGCAATGCCCATTAGTAGGCTGTAGGAAAGGAAGCATGGGATATTGCATAGGTATGCAAAACAATGGGGTGGGGCCATATACTTATATGGAAAGATGTCCAAACCATGCATATTTTTCAAATCATGTGGGGAAAAAAGTCCTCCCATTTTTATGGTTCTCTCATTGAAAATAAATATGAGGGGTTTCAAAGAGTTAGTAAAAAATTTGGAATTAAGTGATCATGGAATATTTTTCTGAGCTTTTCTATATCATTTTATATTCATGTACATTTATTTGTGTTTGCAAAAGCAAAAAACGGACAAAAAAGGTTTGTTACTAGTACTCTGGTTATCTTTAAGAATAGGTTTTTGGAGGGCAATCAAGAATACCTTTTGCTTTTACCTTCCACGAATCTGTGTTTTAAAGTTTTGCTTTTTCACTATGAGCATGTAATGTTTTCATGAAGAAATTAAAAGTGAGAAAGTACCCTCACAGTATTTTCCCATAAGACATTATACAAAACAACGGAATCTACCAGCAAAAGCCCTGCAGAAGTCGCCTCGTGCAGGATGCAGAAAAGGCACAGAGAAAATTTCCGGGGTCTTTGTTATGTGCTCTCCTGTGGACAGAGCTTTCTCCACCTCATCACATTTAATTCTAATACCAACTCGGCGGTATGGGTGTTGTTTTAGAGGGGAGGAAATGAGTTCCATAATGCAAATGCTCATGAAGCATGAAGCCTCATCAAGTAGGAAAAAATGTTTTGAAAATGATGATGGCAACATCTGGACAAAGATGCTTGATACAACTGATGTATGGATTTAAGAGTACCCAATAAGATGATTTATTAAAATTAAAACATAATAGTTTTTTTAAAACAATGAAACCACAACCGGCTCCCTGGTACATACTTCGATTCCCTCGAATGGCATACATCACTTGAACATCCACACAGAATTTCCCCATCCTTTCCACCACGCGGCCAGTTTGTAGCGCCAATTCGTAAGTGGGAGCCAGGCAGAGGCACTGTGTGTAAGAGGGAAGGGAAGGATAAAGGTTTATATAAGACAGCTTCCGAATTTGAACTGCAATTACAAGTTAGACCGGGAGATGCACAGAAATAAAATTGGAGATTTGGATTGAATATAAGTATTTTAAACGGAATCAAAGTTGACAGCTCATAGATCTGAGGTGAATGTTGCGTATGGGGACAGGAAAGGTCTGAAAGGCGGAGACGTAGCTGCCTTTTACACATTCCTCTCTGTTGGACTATAAGAGAACACGAGTTACTGGTTACCACTGGGGGAGGGGCTTCGAGGAAAGAGGATGGGAAGCAGGGAAGCTAGGCCTCCATGAGAGAGGATGTCAGAAAGACACATTCCAGTTGGAGTGCTCTCCTCATCACTCTTACCTGCAAACAGGAATCAACTTTGAAAACACCGTTAGCTTGACCCAATCCCTCCTGCACACCTGTACCAGAATATTACCCAAAGCTCTTTCATTTGTTATGTGCATCCTTGCAAGATGCTGTAGTTTGTGAAGGGGTCTATGGTAGAGAAGAAATGGTAACACAAGCCACCAGCAAACAAACCAACAAAACCCCAATTCGCTGCCAGCCGTCAATGCTGACTCACAGCAACCCTACAGGGCAGGGCAGAACTGCCCCTGCAAGCTTATGAGGCGTCAAACTTTACCCGAGTGAAAAGCGACATCTTTCTTCCTCGGAGTGGCTGTGGTTTTGAACTGCTGACCTCAAAGTTAGCAGTCCAACCTGTAACCACTATGCCACCAGGGCTCCTGAAACACAGCCAGAGTGCTAAAAGTAGTTCCTGCACACATTTCTCAACACGTGTTAAAGCACAGCTTTAAACATAAACTTCATGAATGCCATCTAATAAGTACAAGATTTCATGTCTGTTATCGGTCATCTCCACCTACAGCTTATCTTGCTGAGCAGATTACAAGCTCGCCGAGAAGAACCTTTGTATTCTCCACAGTACTTAAGAGCACAGCAAGCACTCCACTTGTCAAATGAATCCAGAAGAGAGCAGTGTGCATGGAAATGACATTAGGAGACCAGAAAGTTTGGTTACAGCTCTTGTAGAATTTGACCATGTGGCCTTCACCGGGTATGACACTGCCCTCTCTCAACCTCAGTTACCTGCTCTGCTGACTGAGCGAGGCAGGATGAATGATCTTCTAGATCTACAGCTATGGAGGTATCACTAATGAAGGCTGATTTTTTTGCCAAACATAAACACTTTATGTACATTATTTCACTTAATCCTCACAACAACTCGATAAGGAATTTGTTTCATTCAACCAACTAACCATTCAATGTTTAATGAGTGGTTTCGAACAAGCCAGGCACTGCTCTGGGAATTGGCATTCAATGGTGAACAGAAAAACTATGCTCCATGTCTTTAGAAGTGTCCATTCTAATTTACAGACAAGGAAATGGAGACTCAGATCTATCAACTTCTAAAACATTCAACTAGTAAGTAGAGACGATGGAACTGGAACCAACTGGACCGCCGAGTTTGTGTTCACTATCATTGTCTCATACTGCTGCCCAATAATCAATCATTTTATTACATGATGCCATTCCTTACCTGGAGCCCTGGTAATGCTATCTGCTATGTGTAGGACGACTAACTGAAAGGTTGGTGGTTCAAACCCACCAGTCGTTTTCCATGGGATAAAGATGAGGCTGCCTGACCCCCTATAGATTTACAAAACCTCAGTAACCCCATATAGGGTTGCATGAGTGGGAATCAATTTGACAGCCCTTGGAAAGGAGCCTGATGGCATAGTGGGTTCTATGTTGGGCTGGTAACCACAAGGTCAGAAGTTCAAACCTACCAGCTGCTCCATAGGAGAAACATGAGGCTTTCTGCTCCCATAAAGCTCTACAGCCTTGGACACCCAAAGCAGGCAGTTCTAGTCTGTCCTACAAGGTCACTTTGAGTCTATGGTCACTATGGGTCATTCATTACGAAAATATCATCGGCACCACAATCACTCTCATCCATCCCTCAGTCGTTGCTCACCTGTGGGAACAATTCCTGGGCATTGACTCTGCTTAGCATTGCCAAGACAAAGGCAGCTGTTTTGCCTGTTCCAGACTGGCTCTGTGCTATGAGGTTCTGGGGACTGTGGAAAAGAGCAGACCACGGGACACAAAATGAATACGAGAACCTGGGTACAACCTGAAAATGAAAGGCGAAAACCTACCCCAATAGAATACCCCTTCCCTGGAAACTCACGGATGTGCCAGCATCATAGGGAGAGCCATCTCTTGGATTTTCGATGGTCTGTTAAACCCCATCGCATAGATCCCTTTCAGTAACTCTTCTTTCCTGTCAAAAAATAAAAATGTGAAAATTTATGGTTAATAGCTTGAGACATAACACTTGGAAAATATATTTCTAAACTAGCCTACTTTGAAAGTTAGCTTTTAAAGTGATTATTTTTTTAAAAAATAATTATTTTAAAATGTTATCATTCACACCTATGCCAACAGAGGCTTTCTTGTGCTTATTTAGTAATCTATAGTGAACGTTTCACATTTTCACATTTTACAAATGTGAAGCTGTTTGTGGGGTGCAGCCCCACAGTCCAACAGGGTTCTGAAGAGCAATGTATGGAATTATGGAAGAAAAAGACAACAGGCCGCAGGGTGCAGGGGACTGGTCTCCAATCTTGGGAGAAGAGCAGTCTCAAGTTTATTCAACAATAAGGTTTTCTAGTAATGGGGCTTGCAAGCCTCTTGTTAGTTCATACAATAAAATGGACAATGTGATCATCTTGAATATCCTGAGCCTTCTAGAGGAAACCTCAAAGGGAATGTCTGGCAGGTGAGTAAACACATGGTGTCAATCGCTCCTTAAGAATGGGAGACAAAGACAGTAGATTCTTTTAGAGATCCTTTTAACAGTGTGTGTGAGAAGCCAGGCATCTGTCAGAGACAACTGATCATTTTATGGGGGATATATGTGAAGGGGGATATATGTGTTTCCTGGAGAATATGTGCATTTGGCGCTTATTAATCTTCTCCAGACTCAAGGAGGATTTCCTTGAAACACTAGTGCCGGTTTTCCAAGTGCTGAAGTCATGAGAGTAGAAAATACAAGAAGGTACCCAAAAAACTGGAATTATTTTCTTTCAAAGCTATGTATTAAATTTTTTTTTTTTGGCAAAACCACCTTATCCCCTTCAAAGTACTCTCCATTATACTTAATACCTTTGTCAAATCTGTGATTCCATTCTTAGAAACATTTTTCAAACTCATCTGTTTGGATGGCTGACAGCACCTCCCTTGTTTTTTTTTTTCTTCACCTCTTCTATTTCAGCAAATCACTGTCCTTTCATGTCCCTCTTCATTCATGGAAGCAGGAAGAAGTCACACGAAGTGAGGTCAGGTGAGTAAGGTGCACGAGGCAAGAGAGGTATGATGTTTTTTGCCAAAAATTAGGAGCACTGCGATGGCTGTGTGAGCAGGTGCATTGTTATGGTGGCAAAACCAGTCCCTGCTTTGCCATGAATCAGTCCTTTTTGTTGCATGCTGTAATCTTTTCAGAACCTCTAAATAGAAAGCTTGATGAACAGCCTAACATGGTGGAATGAACTCCAAATGCAGTATAAGTCAACATTTTCGTCTGTTCAGGAAGTTGACAGAAGTCCAGAATGAGGTTTGTCATCAATCGACATTGCACCTTTTTGGAAACGAGAAAACCACTCATACGCTACAGCACTGTCCTTGTAATCTGTGTTCAACATCACAACAGCTTCTGTGGCATTTTTCCTGAGCGGGAAGCAAAATTTCACATGCTGTTCTCTTAAATTACCCATCACAAAAAATGAGGTTTGAGTGAAACCGCTTTCACGAAAACATTCACTGTGACCAGAGAGAACCTTCAGAGGCAATGCCACTGGTGCACTAACTCAGAGCGAGTTGCTCGATGCTTGCCTCGTGGGAAAAATGTGAACTACGGAGGCTCCACTGCACCCAGCACAATTCCGGTGTTTGCGGGGGTACCCCCTGTAGACCATTTAACCTTTCTTCCAGGTCCTTAGTCTCCCAGAGCTAGTCATGAGAGATTAATAAAGAAGTATAAATCAACCCACACTTCCCTTGCTTATTGGATAATCAGCCCATGGCTACAAGCCTAAGCTAAAGAAAATGATAATAGCGTAAGGTTTAATTTCCTGAACAAAATTGGAAAAATTATTCTGATAAAAGGAATGTACTAGTTTGCCAAGAGAGGTATATTTTCTCCACAGGCAGAAAACTAGGTAAGATTTGTCAATTACTATTAGTGAAAAAGTAAATAGCAATAGTGATTCTCAAATCAGTATTCCCTCTTGTAGTAATACTGCAGAATACACAATGTTACCTCATCATCCTCGACCAGAATTTTAAAATGTAGTTTTCCTGATACTTCAAGACAGACACAAGAGGATAAAACCAAGCAGGCAGGAACCTCCAGCCCTCCAATGACATGCACAGAGATCACTTGATTGGTTGATTGCCAGTAGCCAAGTGTTAACCATAGGTAGGCACCTTTTATCAATTAGGCAAAGTCAGGACTTCAGGGATGCAGAATTTTACCCTCTCCATTAAGTCGGCATTAGTAACTTTCCCTTTCTATTAAAATACATTTCTTTAATATCACTGCTACAAGTCTGGGGATTGATTCTCATTGTAATATCATCTGAAATGAATGGGCAGGCTTGCCATTTATCCAAAGGGTTGAGGTTGATGTTTGGGTTTCCAGATAATCAGCCCTGTTATCTGGGTTCTGGTGTGGAGACAGGAAATCTGGTGTATCGGGCTTAGCAATATCCCCGTAAGCACAGCAAGATTAAAATACTTTACTACAAAAATTGTCCTCAGTTGACTGGGGTTTTTTGGGGGGCAATAGTGACTCACATGCTGAATGTGCACACTTCATGTTAATACTAAATATTTGCATACAAAGAAGATCCAGATGGTTTTATGATTAACAGATCCATTTTGTGTTGCCCCCTGTCCCCCATTTCCCCATATTAAATGGATAAAAATACTCACAGCCGAAGCTCTTCAAATGTTTTCACGGAGTACAGTGGAGAGCTGGGATCCTTTTGTAAGACTTCAACATGATGACTGGATTCTACTAAGGATTGCCTAATTAACTTGTTTAAAAGCGAATTAGCTGCTAAATCCACTGTAAATGCAAAAAGAAAAGGATTGCACGAGAGAAATCAAGTCTCTTAAATACCATCTAGCAAATTGTTCTTCTTTCTTTTAAAAGAAGATTCTAGAAAGAATGACATGGCACTGAGGGTCCCTGTTTTCATAAGGACAGTTTCTTTCGCTCTGCTGCCACAGACAACAAGCCTACATTCATTTCCAGGGGACCTAATTCTGCATTGCTAGCTGAAAATGCTTAACCACCCTTGCATGCTGGTAGGAAACAGAGACCAAGGAAGACAGTGTATGCAGATGAATCCTTTCTAGGATGCTGGAATGGAGAGAAGCCTTCACGTGTGTGAGTTAGAGTTAAGTCCCAATCACATTCTCATATTAATATTGTTCCTCATTATATCCTCCCATAATAGTGCTGCCTTAAGATACCTCTTACAAGCAGGTTTGCTAGCTAGCCAGCAGCTTTGACTATCAGAGCAGACATGTGCTGTAGCTCTCAAGGCTTAGGAGACAGTCACTCCCCCATACCTGCCCCCAGCACTGGGGTTAAGTTACTCCAAAGCACTCAGAGAGCTGGAGGTTTATGGTTCAGCCCACTTTGTTAGGTATGTGGTTACCTGTAATTAGGGGGGCTTGCATGCACTGAGAGTATATAAGCTGCTGTTGGAAATATAATCCCTCTCTCTGCGCGGCCCCAGAAGTCATGATGGTCGAGGTGAGCCCTTGCATGCTTTATCTTGTCTGATGCCTCTTTAATGTACTCTTCCATTACACAACTGCTCCCTTGGACTGATTTGGTTGTGGGAGCTGGTACCACACACATACTCATTTCTATGACCTCTAGAGAGCTATGGGCCACTCTGAACTTCCTATTTTTTCTGATGCACACTATTTTTATAAAGAAAATGGAATCAATAGTCTCCCGTACCCCCAACTAGAGACTATCCTACTCACTCATATTGTGAAACTGATGGTTAATTGAAAACAGTTGATAGTTGGGGGAGGGGGGAAGATGAGGAGCTGATACCAAAGGCTCAAGTAGAAAGAAAATGTTTTGAGAATGATGATGGCAACAAATGTACAAACGTGCTTGACACAATGGATGCATGTATGTATTGTGATAAGAGCTGTATGAGCCCCCAATAAAATTATTTTTTAAAAGAAAGTAAATGTCTAGAAAAGAGTTATGCCAACATATGTACAAACATGCCTGATACAACTGATGTACGGATTGTAATAAGAGCCTCCAATAAAATTACCCTTTTAATAAAAAAATAAACGGTAAGGTATCAAAAAGAACCAGTTGATACATGAAAATGAATTTATCTCCTACCTACATCTTCTTCTTCATCTTCTTCTGTGATATTCATAGACTCATCTAAAGGATGGAAGAGTAACATATCTGTCAAGCCCAATGTTGCAAAATGCCATCTCAATTGCTCTTCCCAACGATGCCGTGTACACTGACAGAGGTGGTGGGTTTTAAATGAAAGGACTCACAGGTATTTCAGTTGGCAGGGGTAAGGAGTAATCAGTGTGGTTTTCGCTTATTGTGAATTAAAAGTCAATCTGCTTTCCCCTAACAGCACTCACCTCCTTTGGGGATTGCAGTACTCTTAATCACCTGAAGGTTCTTTCGGGGAAGGATGAGGTTTGAGAACTGCTGAAAGGCACAAATTTCAACCACTATTAGCAAGCAGGCCACTAAGCGACCCGGGTACGGCTAACAGAAGCTAAAAGGTGTGTGGGGCGATCACCCCAGGATTTTGTTTCCATTGCAATTTTAGGTATGAATGGATTTCTTTCTGGTTAGGTCTCTTACATGAATTTTCTTAAAATTCGAGAAGCTATTCTACTGCCCTTGTAAATTAAGTTTCTTTTTATTAGGTCTCTGGCCCAAGCAGAGGCACCATCTGAAGGTCAGAGGCAGGAAAGGGGAGATGGTGGGCAGGAGAGATGATGGCCGATTGAAGATGACCGGTAGCAGAAGCTTAATCGCCAAATCAAGGGAGATCAGGGTCCTAGTGGGGACCACCATCTGCTTCCCTTCCTCAGCTTCGGGGTCCCTCTTAGCCTTCATGTTGCCCTATCAAGCCCAAACCCTAGTTTCTCTATAGCCTGCTTCCCGTGCTTTCTCCCAAGACCCTTCCCATATCTCCCATCCACGGCACCCCACTCCACACCCTAGCGGGACCTCCTTCCCTTCTCCCGCACGTTTGCCTCTAGCGGCCCCTGTTCTAGACCCCACTCTGCCCCCCGTCCCGGCTCGGCGGCGGTTACATGGCTGTTCAGCCGCTCGCTCTCTGCCGCTCCTGCGTCGCCTTTCCAAAGTAACGACGCCATAGCTGTACGCCCTGCCCCAGCCCCCAGCACGTGCTCCCAGCCCGGCGCGAGGGGCTCTCCGCGCATCCAGTGGCCAATGAGCTCTCCCGCGGGCAGGCCTACCTTCACGGGACTAGTCACTGGTGCGATGGGCACGCGCAGTAGCGCTTTGTGGCTAGCGAGCAAGAGGTGGGAGGGGAAAGGAGAAGGGGGTGGAAACAAGAAGGAGCACTTTTATGTCGCAATGTGAAGTGTCGGTTTGCCTCACTTTGCCCCAGTTGTAAGACATCTGGGAGGGAGGGGGTGTGACCGGAGTGCAATTCTGCAAAACTTGGGGACTCTTAAGATGCAGCAGCGTGTGCTGAATTAAGAGTCCCTACTTCCCACCACTGACCTGCAGCTTGCTGGTATGCTAGAAGCTATGTCACCGGTATTTTAAATTCCAGGTCACCAAGGTGAACCGGTTTCAGCGGAGCTTCCAGACTGAGGACAGACGATGAAGACGGAATAGGCTGTCCACTTCTGAGAAATATGTCCCCCAAAACCTTCTGATTAGCAGTGGGTAACTGTCAGCTATAATGCCTCAAGATGGAATAGGCCACTTCGAGGGATTAACCACTGAAACTTTCTGAATAGCAGCACAGCATAGCTAAATGTTGTTAGAAGATGGGCGCCTTAGGTTGGAAAGCACTTCTGAAAATACTTCTGAAGAAGAGCTGCCTCCTCAAAGTCATCAACCGTAAAGAGGGGGATGGAGCCAAGCTTTCCAGACCTTGTCGATGGAGCATGGCTTACAATTAGGAGAAAAGGGTGCAAACGTCCATTAATAGTGTAAACACAATGGATGGAACCCATAAAGATTATTAGCCTAGGCATGGGTAAGCTGAAATGGACGTGTATAGGCCATTGTGAATCAGACAATCATATGGCTCACTATGCTGGGAATGGTGTTGAATTTAGTACCAAAAAAGATCATTTCAAGACCTATGTTGAAGGGCAGTGCTCTCTGTAATAGGGTAATATGCATACAAGGAAATCCTATTCAAATTTATGAACAAACTACTAAAGCTAGTGATAAGAAATTGAAGAATTCTACCAACTTTTCAGTTTGAAACTGGCAAAACATGCCACCAACTTGTATTGATGTTTATCGATTAAAATGAGCAAGTTGAAAATAAAGAAAAAGGAACAATCGTTGGAAAGATGGCCTTGGTGATAGAAATAAAGCTGGATATCATACAATAGAATTTTATAAGACTACTGTGACTTCTTCAATCAAACAACTTTTTCAGCAACATAAACCTCCACTATAGATATGGTGTGCATCAGGGTTTATCTTCTCACCATACTTATTCAATCTGTATGCTGAGCAAGTCATCAGAGAAGCTCAATAATACGAAGAAGAGTGTGGCATCAGGATTAGAGGAAAGCTTATTAACAACCTGTGATGTACAGATGGCACAACCCGGCTTGCTGAAAGTGAGGAGGACTTGAAGCACTTGCGGATGAAATCAAGGATTGCAGCCTTCAGTTTGGAGCTTCACAACTCATGTGTAGAAGACCAAGATTCTCACAACTCTGCTAATAAATAACATCATGATAAATGCAGGGAAAAATTGAAGTTGTAAAGCATTTCATCTTGCTTGGATCCACAATCAATGCTCATGGAAGCAGCAGTCAAGAGATCAAATTACACATTGCTTTGGGTAAATCTGCTGCACTAGACCACTTTAGAGTATTTAAAAGCAAGGAGGTTACTTTAAGAACGAAGGGTGCGTCTAAGCCAGGGTATTTCAATTGCTGCATATGCATGTCAAAGTTGGACATTTAATAAGATAGACTAAATAATCAATGCATTTGAAGTGTGGTGCTGGCAACGAATATTGCAAGTACCATGGCTACCAAAAGAACCAACAGATCTGTGTTGGAAGAAGTACAACCAGAAATGCCTCTTGGAGGCAAGGATGGTGAGATTTCACATTGTATACTTTGGACACATTGTCAGGAGAGACCATGTTGCCAGGAGTCCCTGAAGAAGGACTTGGTAAAGTAGTGGGGCATCAAAAAAATAAAAGGAAGACCTTTGACAAAATGGATTGACATCGCGGCTGCAGCAATAGGCTCAAACGTAAGAGCACTGTGCCGATGACAGGCAGGGCAGAGAACAAGCTCGATGGCACCTAACAACAACATACACGTGGAAGGAACACACAGAAATCAAACTGACTACATCTGTGGGAAGAGACTACAAGGAAGCTCAATATTAGCAACCAAAATAAGGCCCAAGGCCACTGTGAAACAGACCATCAATTCCTCATATGTAAGTTCAGGTTGAGAAAATGAAAACAAGTCCACAAGAATCAGAACATGACCTTGAGTCTATTTCGCCTGAATTTCAAGAACGGATTTGACTCACTGAACACTAATGACAGAAGACTTGGTGAGCTGTGGGATTACATCAGAACATTATACATTAAGAAAGTAAAATGTCATTCAAAAGACAGGAGAGAAAGAAAAGATCAAAGTGGATATCAGAAGAGACTCTGTGTAGGAGCTAGTGCACAACTGGATGGGTCCCAAGGAGCGGTTGAGTAATTGAAAGGGAAAATTAAATAGACTACGGATTGGGCTGAGCTGAAGCAGGTCAGGGCCCCGCTTCCCTGCACATCCCCGGAGGTTGGCAACAGACAGCGTCAGATAAGATAACCAGAAAACCAGATGCTCCGGGTTTGAAGAAAGCCGCAAGGAGTCGATGTGCAATGCTTGGAACGTCCAGACCCCATGTGCTAATTGCCCCACATTCTACTGCCCCTTTAAAAACCCATGCCCCCAGCTACTGAGCATGACTTCCCTGACTTGTTGGCCTAGGTCACGGAACCTCATCTGGGAGCTCCCTGCTAATAAAGCTATTTCTGTCTCTGCTCTCCTTTGTCCTGTCAGTTATGTCTTTCCATCTCTCCGTACCTCAGTTTCACTTTTGCATTTGGTGCCTGAAACCTGGGAGAGGTAGGGACACGGGCTCCGTGCTATCCCAGCCCTGCCCCAGCTGGGACATAGCCCATCCCTCCTCAAGTCCTGAACCTCTGGAGCCCGCCTGGACGGGTGATTTCTGGTCAGTATTTCTCTGTGTATGTTCATTCTGTCTCGTTTGTCTTGTGTGTCTTTCCAGATACTGAGGACCAGCAAACTCATATGGGAACATAGGGTCCCCATTTTGGGGGAGTGCCATGGAAGGGGTTTATACTGCCACCCTAGTACTAAAAGGAGCTGGAAAGAACTGCCTTTTCCCGAATTGGGTGCAAAGATAAGGACCGTTTCTCATGTCTATCCTTTCTTGGGTCTATCTTTCCTCATGTAGCCCCCAGCGCTTTGTCTCTGTGTTTACTTTCTGGGATTTCTGCCCATAACAAAAGTTCTGGCTCTGGGCCTGGAAATCACTGCGCCTTCAGACCAAACTAAGGTGCAAAAGTTATTTCTGAACCATTTTCTACTTATTTGTGTGCTTTGGGTCTGCAGCTGTGCAGGGCCTTCTCTAACATTTTCTACTTCCCCGTTTTTTTCTCACCCTGAACAAAGGCCTCTGACCAACCTCTATTTTACCAGCCATAAAGCCAAGCTCCCCTCCCCCTCCTTGGCTTCCATTGTGTCTCTCTCTGATCCAAGATCCCTGTCTGCTGGAACAAGCTGCAGGACTGCACCTGGGAAACTTCCTGTCTGGTAGTAGTCCAGGACTCTCCACTGGGTCCCTAACTCTGTTTGGGATGCCCTCAGGGTTACCGGACTATTTCCGTCTGTTGGGTGAGGACAGATACCAGGGGACACCTTTCTCCTCTGCCAGTACCCTCTGCAGTTTGAGACACCATGAGAAGTCCTCTTTTCCAGCCCCGCCAAGGACATTCCTTCGGGGTATCTACTGGCCAACCTTACTGAATTGGGTTTGGCTCCTGATCTCTGCCCTAAGTGCCTGGTCTTTTTCTGTAACCAAGTTTGGCCTCAATACCAATTGGACAATGAGTCGCACTAGCCAGAAAATGGCACTTTCGATTTTGACATTCTCTGCAACCTCGACAATTTTTTGTCAGTGAACTCACAAGTAGTCTGAAGTCCCTTATGTCCAGGTCTTTTTCTTTCTTTGCTCTCATCCCTCTCTGTGTACTGCCTGTCACCCTGCTCAAGTTCTCTTAGCCAAACACTCTCTTAATCAACCCCTGACAGTACTCCCCATTGTCTTTCTCTCAACCCCCTGACTCTTTGTCTGTACCCCCAGTAAGGCCTCCTCCATATTCTGGATGCCCCTCACCATCACCTCCCCCCGCTATGCCTCAACTCTCAAAGGCTGAGGTGACTGTGCCCCCGACACCTGTCCCCACCCCAGAGCCAAACCCTCAGACTCCCTGGAGTCTCTCTTTCTCCCCTTGCCGCCTCCCTCCCTATGCACCTTTCTCCCTGATGGACCTCTCCCAGGTAGAAAAGCGGCACCCAAGCATGTTTGCTGCCCTGAAGCCGGCAGGAAGGAGGGGTCAGAAAGCTCCAGGAAGTAACAACTTTAATTGCCCACTGCACTTTTGATTTCAATATTCTCTGAAATCTCAACAATTTCTGCCACTGAACTCACAAAGAATCCGAGGTTTCCTATGTCCAGGCCTTTTTTCCTCAGCACTCCAGTTCCCTTCTCTGTATTTCCTGCTCCCCTTCCCAAATCCTCTTGACTGGAGAAAATTCCTCCTCTCCTCCTGCTTTTGCACCCCCTCTGGTGTCTACCTTTTTAGACCCGCCTGAGCACCTTGTCTCCCCTCCTACTCACCCCTCTCCCTATTCTGGCCACCCAGAGCCCCCCGAGTCTTCTTCTCCCAATCTACCCGCCTCACTGGAGGAACCTGAGTCTGCACTCGCCCACTGGTTAGCGAGCACACTCATCGCAGAACCCCCTTGTCCTTTGTCCACTCGGGAAAGTGGCCGGGACTGAGAGAGTGGTCCGAGTCATGTTCCCTTCTCTCTCACTGATTTATCTCAGATTGAAAAGCGTTTAGGCTCCTTTTTAATAATCCAACCAC